CCCAGCCTGGACGAGCGCCGCTCTGGTGCGCCGGGTCTCCGCGGTCTTCCCCGCTGCTCCTGCAGCGCCTGGGTGGGCTCTCCTCAGGCCTCTGCAGACCTGCGGCCAGACCCGAGGTCCTGGGGTTGAGGTGTTGCAGTCGACAGCCGCTGGGCTCAAAGGCCGACCTGCGCCGGGCGCCGGCGAATGCCCGCCGCAGCCCCGGGGGCAGCTGTTCTGCGGGAGATGCACCGCGGCCTCCGCGGAGCCGCCCATCCCGTACCGACGGGTGGACGGTGGCCCTGGTTGACGTCAGCAGCGGCGCGCATTTCCAATGCAGGCTTCTGGACTGGCTTGGGGCCCACTGAGTCAGAACCTTCCAGACTTCTTCAGTGTTGGTGGAGATCCTTCGTGTCAGCCGAGCTGTTATCCCAGCGGCTACGGAGGCTGGACCTGAAGATCAGGAGGATGGCGAGTTCAAGGCCAGCACTCAGCAACTTAGTGAGGCTCTAAGCAACTTAGGGAGACCCTGTTACAAAAAAGGAAAAGGGCTGGCTCAGTGGTGAAACGCCCCCGGGTTCAGTCCCCCGTAGCACAAAACAAAAAAACTCCTTTGTGTCCCATCATCCCAGGTGTGGCACACTCATAAATACTTAAATATAGTATATTGTAATTACATACCAATAATATGGTAATTATAATGTTAATGCACCTGGAAGCTCTAGATTATCATTTCCAACTGATTTTAAAGAACCTGTGTCAATTGTTTTTGAAATATTCTCAGAATTGAAAATTTAGGATTTATTGGATTTGTCATCTGCTGAGTCCTTGGAGTGTCCATCCGGATTTAGCTCAGCGATGGAAATGAAGAGAAGGCTGCGTGGATCCTGGCTGGGAAAGCCCCAGGCCCTGGGAAAGGAACTGACCTGAAGTCCAACCAGAGGGCAGCGGAGCCCATCTCACTTGGGCATCATTTCAGCCTGTATTTTACGAAAAGGGAGCTCATCCCAGCAATAGTTAGCGTGTAGGTAGCTGCACTCATCCCCCCTCCCCACCAGGAATTTGCTTTTAAACAAGATTCGAGGGTGTTTAGGTTAGAGCCCATGGGAGTAGATAGTCCACAAGGTCCTTTCCCCTTGGGAACGACCACCTAGTGTGAAACCCTTAAGCTAGGAGGACACTCCATGCCTTTCACTCCCCTTGGTGTATTGTAGGGAAACCAAAGAATGGAAATAACCCAGTGGCTGAGGGGCAGATTGCATTGTCCATACTAGTTCATTTGAAACTCACCCCTGAAAAAACAAAATAATACATCAAAAAATAAAAACAAGAAAACTCACCTCTGAAAATTATTCTAAGAGGATAATTAAGGGTATGCACAAATTTACCTTGATCTTATTCTCAGGCTTACTTACTGGTTAAAGGAGTTATGATACTTCAGATCAATGGAATCAGTCAGCCATTTTAGAAAATGGTGTAGTTAATCAGAGATTCTTAAGCTATTTGGTCTCAGGATCTCTTTACATTTTTTTTTCAAAATTATGGAGGTTCCAAAGAAGATGTATAGCTGCATCTGTCAAAGCTTTTGAAATTAAAAGAGAAATTTAAAATACTATTTCATTTAACAATAACAATAAATTCATTATATGGTAGCATAAATAATATTTTCTGAAAACTAAGTATATATTCCCAAACTAATAAAACAGTAGAAAGAGTGGTATGCTTTGAGATTTTTGTTATTCTGTTTAGCATCAAACAATAGAAGCAGCTTTACTTTTATATCTGTTTCTATATTCATACTGCTGTAAATCATTTAGCCTCTAGGAAGGTTAAGTGTATGCTTGGGATAGAACAAGAGCAGACAGTTCACAGTAGCTACACTGTGGAACCAGCCTCAGTGCCCTTCAACAGATAAATGGATAAAGAAAATGTAGTACATATACATAATGGATTATTATCAGCCATAAAGAAATATGAAATAATGGCATTTGCTGGTAAATGGATGAAACTGGAGACTACCATGCTAAGTGAACTAAGCCAATCCCAAAAAACCAAAGGTCAAATGTTCTCTCTGATGTAAGGATGCTAATACATAATAAAGGGGAGAAAGAAGAATAGAGGTTCACTGGATTAGACAAAGGGGAATGAAGGGAAGGGAGAGGGATGGGGGTAGGAAAGACAGAATGAATCAGAAATAACTTTCCTATGTTCATAGATGAATACAGGACCAGTGTAACTCCACATCATGTACAACTGCAAGAATGAGAAGATATACTCCATCTATGTATGATGTCACTCTACTGTCATGTATACCTAAAAACAACAACAAAAAGGATGAAAGTACAAAAGGCAAATGATGTCTTACCATTAAAATACAAATAGTTTTGTGCTCATGAATCCCCCAGAGGTTCACAGATCACACTGCTTTTTGAGCTAATGGGGCAGATGAGTATTGTTGACATGGAAAGATATTAATGATCTATAAAACTTTTAGAGTAGTCTATATATTTTTGGAATGCATGTACATGTCTAGATATTTTTAAATTGCATGTACAGGTGTTGAAAAGTTCTGGAAAGATGACTATGGTTTGGGCATGCTTGTCTTAGTGAGACTGAGTGTTGTTACTTGTTGATGTTTTTTTCTTCTTGTACATTTGCTGATGTCCTTCCATGTATTACTTGAGTAAAAAGGAGAAAATGGTTATTTTAAAGTTAATCTTTTCTGACTGGTCATTATAGTGCATGCCTGTCATCCCAGAGACTCAGGAGGCTGAGGCAGGAGGATTGCAAGTTCAAGGCCAGCCTGGGCCACTTAGTTAGACCTTTTCTCAAAATAAAAAATGAAAAGGGTTGGGGATGTAGCTCAATGGTGGAGCACCCTGGGCTCAGTCCCCAGTACAGCAACAAACAAGTCTTTCTGATAGGCCCCAGAGGGTCAAATGGTTGTTAAGCCCTCTCAGGTAGTTTTCCAATGGTTCCAGGTCTGCGGTTGAGATTCAGGAACCCAAAACCCACAGAGGTCAATGTGGTGGCTCTTTTATTTGACCAACAGCCTTTATGTCATTGTGAAGGAGAGGATCTGATGGTGCTGGGATGCTTCTTAGTAGGGTTTGATGAAAAGGTCAGGGTGGGCACTGGCTAGAGGGCTCACTGGCCACTTTCCTACAGCCACCGGCAGCCTTAGGCATGGGGCCGAGTGTCCTTGGCCAAGCTCTACTGAGCTGGTGGTCTTAATTCCCACTTCTGTTTCTGTTGTGATGAGCAAAAGTACGACTTATGCAGTCAAGGGGAGAAACAAAGAATGTCCACATGCTAATGCCCTTTTCAATGTTCTATTCACTCAAAATCACTCAAAACGTTTCACTCTACAGGTTCTTAATCAAGAAATGACAATCCTTAATGCTGGGCTCTCCAATAGACATAAACCAATTCACAGCAAACAATTCCAAGTTAACTCTAAGCACTGCAAACACACTAATTCATGACAGATTCATTACAGACATTCCCTCTGCTTGCCAAGTTCAAGTGCTAAAGTCTGAGGTCTCAGGTTTTAAGTCCAGCTGATGTACCGAGGCTTCTCCTGGTGTGGAGTTGATGGCTGGCTGAGGAGAAGGGTCAAGAGGCTGCTGTAGAGTTTGAGAGTAGTGAGGACGAAGCAGAGGATCAGGCAGATGAGGAGAGATGGGATGTCAGTCTAGGTCCTCATCGGGTTCTCAGGCTTGTGTGCATCAGCATCAGCTGGCTGAATGTCTGTTCATTTGTTCCATTATTTATACTAAGTTTTGGGAGCTTCTGCATGCACTTTTGGTCCCTATCAGCTGTTACCAGGTGAGGACATATGGTCTGGTGGTTTCCACCCTAATATCACCCTCCTGGCTCTTATCAGGGTTGTGGAAAATGAGTTGTTTTATCAGGCTATGCTTGATGACATATTGGAGGGCTCTGTGGCTTGCCTGGTGAGAATGCAGGTTTATTTTAAGATAGAGTTTTAAAATGGAGTTGCTTAGGCTAAGGCCATCCTTATAGTCTCTCTACCTATAATCTAGTAAACAAAAGCCCTTGAAATACATGAATGGTGACCTGGCCAGTTGGAGCTTCTTGTGCCTTTGCTTTGAAAGGATTCCACAAAATCAGATGTGCTAGGACACCTCATGTCCCAGAGTGTTTCTGGGGCACAGGTTAGGTGCTTTGGAACTGGGGTCACCCTTAATGCATCT